CACCTGTCATACCCAGTAATAATGTGGTATAAAGGCACATTATTTGCGAATGTAATGAGTTCCTGGTTTCACTCTAAATTGATTTTCAGTTTAAATCGATTGAATTGACCCCCAGACCTGGTAGAGTCGGAGACTGACTTGATGATGTAAGCGGGGTCCAAATAGCAATCAGCCCGTACGCGACTCCAGGAGCTTCTCCTTTTAACTTATCTCTTCACTTCCCCTTGTCTGCCTGCCAGACTGGAAGAAAAGCAGTGGAGTGGGCAAATGCCTCAGCCTCTACAGGGTATTCAGACGTACAGTACACATACACACACACACACACACACACACACACACACACACACACACACACACACACACACACACAGTGGGTATAAAAAGACAGCTGGAGGCTTCTTTACTGAGTGATAACCTCTAAAGGACTCGGAGCAGCATTAGCAGCAACATCCACCTCCTGCATGTAAGTCCATCAATAACATATCTCATCAACCTCCTGAGACCTCACGCTTTTTGTTTGATATGCTTTTTTAAATTTCCTAGTTATTTTGATGAGTAGGACCTAATAAGAATAAAACCTAAACGTCGTCTTTGAACAAGAAAAGTCTTCCTATGGATGGAATAAAGCCACCGTTGTGTAACAAAGTACAAACACAGCTGTGCAAAAAAACTAAATCAGGAAGTCGTTTTCACAAAGAAAATGGGTTTATTCTAATGCCTAAAGATGGCTGTGCAAAACTAACATGGCAAATAATAACAATAACGTATCTCATTCAGTCAGTTTCAAAATGAGGACAAATTAACAGATTCAAAACAGTAAACATGAGGAGAAGAGCAGAAGATGAACATTTCCAGAATGAAGATGATGATTTTTTAAAAGCAGTTCTGTGATATTTTGTGATTTAAACGTGAGTCCTGACCTGGTCTGAAGGCTCTTGATGCGACAGAGCATGTCCAGGTGTCCTGCAGAGTACTGCTCTATCACATCCTTCACATCGTACGGACGCAACGTCTCCTTGAACTTCTTTTTCGCCACGTGGAACTTCATGATCCTGCACACAAACACACAGGAAGCGAAGACAAAGCTGGAGTTACTAACGTAAAGAGAAGTACGGGTGTAATCACTACGACCAGCCACCAGAGGGCAGCAGCAGCTTTAGGACGATCCTTGTTACGCATCACTCGTTTAATCCGTCTTTGGAGTGCGATAATGAAAACATTATTAAGATCTCAGTTACCTAAAGGAGCATCTAACGGGAAACCGAGGTTCCCTGGATTCTCTTGACTTAGAAACGTGAGCGTGTGATCTTCTATCTCCTGTATCTAGTGAGCACAACCACTGCTGGGTGGATAATATTGATGCAGGTAAGGAGATCCCCCTCGGCGGTTTCTGATTTTCTCCAGTTGCCCTGTTTTTTTTACTCGCTGTCTAAATGGAAACAATGGTGACAGATGACCCTCTGTAATAACAGTCCGGGGGGGGGTCCAACCCTCAACCCGACACCCTGGGAAAGCCCGGCGCTCCGGCTGCCCATGGAGGAGGCCTGCTGGGTGGACAGAGAAACAGGGGCGCTGGTGGTGTAGAAGGGGGGGGTCTGATAGAACTCACTAGAAAACAACATAAAGTCTTATCTTTCTAAACCGGTACATATCAACACATTTCAGAACATGGTCCCTTGATGTGATTTGTGTCAAATGTGGACTCCAGAAAGATTCCACTGGAGATGATTACATAACTGGAACTCTCTGTTGAAAATGACACAGAAACTACAAACTTAAATTTAACGACAGTAAACGGCATCACTGAGGAAATACAAATATATAAATGTGCATGTATAATTGTATATCGTTATGTTTTTGTGCAGATGGGACGGATTATTTACAGAACAGATTCTGTGGTCCATATGGGCAACATCTGTATGTGTGTTGAGAATATTATGAAAAGTTTAAATACCATATATGAGTCTCTTTGACAGTCTATGTGGAGTGAATATGCTCAAACTAGATTCTATGTAAGAGAAAGTGTGATCAGAGTGAGTAATACTGAAATATTAAATCTGCTAACAGACGGACTCAGAAGCTCACGACGTTAACGGATAAAGATCAGTCGAGGTCTTTCCTCTTGATTTACAATCTGCTTTAAATGCTTTTTCTTCTCGACAAAGAGGAGAATCCAGCAAAACATCTGTTCCTGTATAACAAGGGAATGGTCTGTTATATATATATATATATATATATATATATATATATATATAGAGTATAAAACCAGGAGAGCATCTTATTAATCTATGAATCCTGCTTTATTGAGAGGTGAAAAATCGACTCTTTTTTTTTTTTAACAATACTTTTTTTTTTGAAGAGGGTGAGAAGAAGCGGTGGAGTGAGAGAATCAGTTGCCGCCAGTTGGATACACATTCGCTTTACATGGTGCTGGTGTAAGAGATCAGGGTCTGCTGGACCGCACACACACACACACACACACACACACACACACACACACAACCAATCAAAACCTGCCTCAGGCAAACCCTAAAACCCAGCAGTAGGTCCGATAGATTCAGAGGGAAAGATGGAGATAAAAAAGCAAGAAAAAAGTAGAGAATTCAGCTTTAAAAAAAAAGCTTTGCTTGAGGGAACCGAACATCGTGTGAACTCATCGGAGAACGTTTTTACCATCTAGAATAACATGTATAGCAGAGGGAATACATGTCGGCTCCTGACAGTGAAACCCATCTGCTGGCTGCTGGTATTCATTCATACACTCGTTGGGTTCATATTCAGTCAATAAAGTCTTGCACACAGTCATTCTAGAACTTTTTCGATCAATACGGCTCACAAACAGCCGACTAAGAAAGACAGCGGTCTACGGATCAATAAACGTGACCGGACTTTAAAAAGAGATTCTACTACACATGAGATCGACAAAGCAGCCAATCAGGAAAAGGAGGAGGCGGTTCAGTGACATCACCAATTGACGGGTAACTGTTAAGTTCAGTGAGCTGTTACTGTGGTCATCTTTATCAGAGCAAACCAGACAACAAGCTCCGGTTCTGCCGAGTGAAGCAGATGCTGAAGAGTCTTAAAACCTGCATTCTCTCTGGTGTCCACCAGGGGGCGACTCCTCTGGTTGTATAGAAGTCTATGAGAAAATGACTCTACTTCTCTCTTGATTTATTACCTCAGTAAACATTGTAAACATGAGTTTATGGTCTCAATCTCTAGTTTCAAGTCTTCTTCAATACAGCATGATGTTCATTTAGTACATTATGGTCCATTTAGAGTCACACAGACCATAAAGCAGGGGATGCTTTAGGGCGGGGCTACACAGTGATTGACAGGTCTCTACCAGAGACGTATACGCCGTCTCTACGTCACTCCTCCTCAGTCCAGATATGGTCACTTCCTGTTCAATGGTTGCAAAAAAACCAAGATGGCAAAAGATAAACTGTTTGCTCAAACCAGATTCTGTAAAGAACATTAAATTATGCGCTCTTCAGTACAACTATGAAGCCACGATTGATTCACCTCAGATGAACAGTCACACGACAAAAATCCTGTGAACGTTTGACTGAACTGCTGCTGAACACAGAGAGGAGAGGAGAGCTCAATGTATAAATAACACATGGAGCCTCCATTTTTTTCCAACATCGGTAACACTTGGAATCATGTTTGATATATAGATTCCAATGTTTTCCAATTATCAAAGGAATTCAACTTTTCATGATTTATGTCATTATATGATTGTTCTGCTTCCATAGAGGTGCAGGACTTGTAGAGGGTTTGGTGTTCAGAGGGTTAAGTTCTTTCAGTCCTCACTTGATATTTGAATGCAAGCCTTTTTCACAGCAGTGAAACCACTTTACCTCAAACATTTCTTGGAATTTAGCATCAGCTAAAAAGACACGAAACGTAAAGTGACACTGGTGCAGCATCTCACCTGACAGCCCTGATGACGGCCTTGAGCGGAGCCGACAGGTCCTCCACCGTAACGTCACAATGGCAGCCTCTCTCGTCAAAGGAGTCCTCCGTGGTCATGCCTGCGTCCACTGAGTCAGACACACCGCCATCAGTACAACTTTAGCCCCATGCAAAACCATTCCCAGTCATTGAAATCTCATAAAACACTTTCTGCTTCGTTGGTCTCTTGCGCACGAGTGTCCAAGAATGTTTCAAACTGATACTATTCTGGCTCTTGGGAGGTGAGAATTGATGCCCTGCTTGGACGGGATGTTGAGGAATGGGCAGCGTTTCTACCAGCTCAGCGATGTGAGGTGAGAGAAGAGGGTTCATACAGATAATACGTTAGACCGCCAATCATTAGGAGGAGGAGGGGGGGGACACGGACAGAGACACAGACACAACGAGAGGAAGAGGAGGAGAAAAAAGCATTGGAGGGAAAAAATGTAAAGCGAGCGAATCACGATGAAGTGCATATAAGAGGCTCAATGAATGATTGGAGGGAATAAGAAGAGGCACAGAGGTGCTATTAAAACAGTCAGTGCTGTCATCTATTACTGTGTGACTTTCAGGGGAATGTGAGGACAAAAGTTTTCTCTAAATTCAGCCGGACACATGGACACATGGCGTGTTGGGAAACGTTGGGACCTCCACTAGAATGAGAAATGAGTTTTTAAATGACGGGGGTTGCTCTGTAAGGTGTTGTGTTGGTCGCTCTCTCACCATCTGAGACGGCAGTGCGGGTCTGGCTCTTCAGCTTCAGCGACGGCCTGAACCGAGTCCGGTCGTTGAAGCTCCAGCTCTTCTGCACTTTGGCCGGACTCCCGCCCATCAGCTCGCCGCCGCCGCCCGCCACCTCGTTGCCGGGGGAAGAGCGCTGGCGGTCGTTGACGGACGTCTGCCTGCTCTTCATGCTCTGACCGCGGGGACTCGCCATCCGGACCCGCTCCTTAAAACTCAACTTCTGGCTGCAGGGGGAGGTTAGCCAAGAAAAGAGAGAGAGAGAGAGAGAGAGAGAGAGAGAGAGAGAGAGAGAGAGAGAGAGGGAAGATTCAAAGAAGCAAAGAGAGAGATTTGGGATGAAAAGAGAGATGGAGGTGAAGAAAGGTGAAGTTTATGATGAAGTTGATGGAGAAAGAAAAGGTCAAGGGTTGATAGAGAGACACAAGGAAAGAGAAAGAGAGAGAGAGGGGGAGAGAGAGAGAGAGAGAGAGAGAGAGGGAGGGAGAGAAGAAAGGGAGGCTGTCAACACATATTTCCAGCTCAGAGAGTGATTTGAGAGACATGGGGCAACGTTCTGTCTTTTCCCTTCAGCCCATATATCATCCATCCAGCTGACATGCCCAAATCACCAGAACACAGCCAGACGGGTCGCCGAGCCACCTGAACATAAAACCCTCACATTCTGGATCCTCAACAGTTGATGATCTAATCATGTATTCGCTTTATTAAAAACAGAGGTAATGAGATTCTTGGAGGCGATACGTGAAAGCACAGTAACATTTAATTGATACGAGATCAACACATTGATTTTGAGACTACGATGAACAGATGAGACCATCGCTGAGAGAAGCCTCTCCGCGGTGTTTTCCTTCAGTAGACATTTATTTTGGGAAACGTTGGAGTTCTAAACGTTCTGAAAACGTTCTAAAGAAACGAAATCTTTCAGAGATTGTGAAGGCAAATAACTTCCAGCATGTTAATCTACGTTTACTTATCTTATACTCATTTTTTAGACTCTAACAAAATCCTGAAGAAGAAGAAACTTCTGGCATCAAAAATGTAAAAAACGATGGTTGTTCACAAAGAATATGAATGGAACCAAAGACCAAAACAGTTTCTCGAAAATATAAAATAAAAGAAGAATTGTATTTTTACTCATTACTCTGAGTTTACATTGAGTGAGATGTCTTACTGAGAAAGTGGAACATTTCCCAAAATTGACTCATTTTCACTTCATCAAAGTTCCAACTGAACGTGACGCTGTTTTATCAGAAACGTGGTTTAAATCTGCAAAACACAAAAATCTATTTTGATCTCAATTGTTCACTGTCGTGACACCATAGTGTGATATGTTCAGGGTTTAAAAAGCTACGTATAGTAACTTTAAAATTATATAAAGTTTAAAAAACGATCATATTACAATAAAATCATATGAATCTTATAATCAACATCAGCCGCTGTAAAGGAAACAGTGATGTTTAAATCTCTGGTAACTTCACAGGGTTGGTGGTGGAAGCAGAAAGTCCATCAATGAGACTCACTGCAGTCAACTATAACGTCTCTGAGGCAAATAGACCAGCATGCAATGCAGCAGACCAATGAGAGAGAGATGCAGGGTTCCAACATACTTTACATGCTACAGTTTCAAGCCTCAGTGTCTCACTGTCATGATCTCCCAAACCTCCACCTGTGCAATCTTATTCTTCATTCCCCAGACCTGTCACACTGACTGTAGATAGAACCTCACACATCGCATCACATGTCCAGCCAGGCATAACTAGATATAGTGGATTTGTACACTAATACTGAAACAACCACACATTCATTCTTACATACAGTGGGTGGATAGTTATATGTTAATAATACTCTCATCTATTATCATTCTCTCCATCTCTGATGGCTGAAAATGACTGAAAGGAGAAGTGCAGCAGTAATGCAGGGAGCATGCAGTAAAACACGTCCTGATACTGACATGTGTAGAGCTATCTACAGGAGAACACAGGACGAGTGATTATAGAACAGATATGTATGCTGTCAGTTGGACATTAAGATAAACTAATCCATCCACATGAATTGTTCATTTTATTTCCATTGCTTTTTACTAAATTGTCGGGTTTTATTTAATTTGTTTTAACAGCTGATGGGAGTATAGCCTCTAAAAGAACCAACTTCTGGCTTCAAGAATCTAAAAATCTATGCGTTTGATTGAAACTAAAGACATTCACGTGGCTGGACTCGGATCAGTTTCTAGAAAATATTAAATAAAGGGGGATTGTATTTTTACTCATTACTCCCAGTTTACACAATAAAACACGTACACAAGTAACCACTTACTGAGAAAGTACAACATTTTACCAACATTCTTTCGTAAGGATTTTTAAATTGTAAATTAAGAAAAGATAAAGGCAAGCAACATATAATGCCATTCTGCTTCATGGTTTCAGAATGATTGGGGCTCAACATGCAGGTTGTTATCTTCGGCACGTTTAACTACACTGGGAGTGAAATCCGGTGCATTTCTTTCATTTATCTGGAAACACAAACATTCTTCCTTATTGTTATCTTTTAAAACCGTGTTTACTTTTAGAGTGCAAAGATCAATTTTGGTGGAATTCCCCTTTCATTTTCGTGTTTGCATTCGACAGGCAGCAAGCAGCAGTCGTCTCAGACAAAGTCCTAAAAAGAAAGGGGACGAGGTAAGAAGGAAGTTTGTTTCCTCGCTTGTCCTCCATGCTATTAGTCATTCCCACAGGTCACTGGGCAGAGAGGATGCTGGGTAGCACTGTTTAGGTACCTCCTATATTTCCAAGTGCACCTTCTGAAGAGCCTCCCTTTACTTAGACCCTTACTAGAGGACGGAGGAGGGAGCAACGGGAAGATAAGGGAGGAAGGAGATTAAAAGAGGAGTTCAGCTGAGGAAGGAGAGAGAAATCGTCTGCTGTCAATATTGATGCAAAGTAAAATACACAGAGAGACAGAAAGGGAAGGATGGGAGATCTTCCAGAGGAGGATGGGAGTGGACAAACAGGGAGGAGCTATAACTTATTATATATTAATGATGTGACACACATCATACTAGTGTCATTCAAACTAAAGCTATAGTCGGTTTTAAAGCAATACTCTGAACATCTACAACCTTGACTCTTATTTTTTCTAACACATTTGACCAAACTCTCGGCAATCGTATCCAAATCAACAAAGTGATGTCTTTACAACAGTGATTGTTCACTATTTACTCACTAATCCTGCATGTGTCCCTGAAGTGGTGAATAAATTAGTGATCACCAAAATAGATAAAAGCGTCTCCAGAAATCACATGAAATGTGGGTTTTTTAAATGGAACCTGGTTCATTGCTTAGTTTGGTGTGAATGCTGATATCTGAGTCGTGTTCTGGACTAAACAGAAACACATGTTAATGCAGCATCATGTTGAATAAAGCTGTTTTGTTTTTCCCATTAAAAGGAGGAAGAGAAGTCAGCAACAGGTTTAAAAAACACCTTTAAATGACGAGAAAATGTGTCCAGGTTGGAAGAAGTCAGAGTTGCCCTTCAAAGAAAAAGCTTGAATCATTTGAAATGAACTGTACACACACACACACACACACACCTGCCTACACACACACATAACCTCCAGATTAAACTCCCATTAGCCTTCATTTTGAGTTGCCTCGCTGCCAATATCCAGCACTCGTACACTCAGCATGATGTGCACTGCAGCACTCTGTGGTGAGTGTTTACCACCGCTGGTGTTTACAAGCCGGCTTAACACGAATAAACCCCACCGTCCCTTCACCACTGAACCCACCGCCGCCGAGCAGCCGACAGTCTGTAAAACCACTAATAACACACAGAGTCGCCTGTTCTCTCTTCTTAGAGGTTAACATAACAAGACAACAAAACGCTGCCATAAAAGTGCACGTAATTATGATTTCACACGTTCAGATTGGATTTACTGTCACAATTGTTTCTAAGAAAGGAAAGCGGAATTAACCACTGCTCCTCTAGAACCGGGGGGGAGTTACTGTGGATGCAACAAAAGCCTAATTAAATGTTGTGTTTCAGGATGAGAAGCTCGTTTGTTTGTGTGTTTGACTGAGATCATATTTTTTTATGTGTGTGTGTGTGTGTGTGTGTGGCTGTCTGAAGTTTAAGAAGCTGCTGGCTCAATATAAGACTCCCAAATGTTGCCAAAGAAGCGCTGCACTGTAAAAACTATGCTAGCATAATTAAACTCACAAATCTCTCTCTGTCTTCTTCCCCCTTTCTCCCCCTCTCCCCCTTTTCTCAACTTCGCTCTGTCTCTCCTAGACTTGTGTTTGATGAGTTATATAAATACCATCCCAATGGAAAAAGTGCGTCATGGTACAGACATGGTACAGACTCCTGTCTTTGAAGGCGGGTGCGTGCGCACACACACACACACACACACACACGCACACACACACACACACTGAGAAGCCCATCACCCTTCCCTGTCTGGGAGTCAAGTGCAGGGAGGGAAACAGTAGTGAAAGAAAAACAGAGATGGAGATGTAAAGTGAGGAAGGAATCTGAAATAAAGACAAAGGAATAGAAAGGCAGCAGGTCGTAGCTTCACAAGAGGACGATTGAAAGTTCTTCACACTTTTAACAACATCATCATCACTTTGCCAGGTCATTCAAATCAATGCCACACGGTAAATAAACGGTAAATAAGAGTTCAGTCACTAAATCGATGAATGAAACCAAGCGACTAACAAATCAATACGTTGCAACAGTTTGATGGCAATCATCAATTAAATCCCTCCCCATTAACTATCACCACGTTAACAAACACATAATTAAGTCCGTCAATTATTGATGAAGAGTCCAAATCTGTTCATCTGCACTCAAACGATGAAGGAACCAAAAAGGAAAATAGACCAAACAAACCAGTTTGATTACAATTGCATCACATGTTGAGTGTGTGTGTGTGTGTGTGTGCGTGTGTGTGTGTGTTTTGGAGGAGTGAGCTGAGAGTCCTACAAACCTGTAAGTGGTCTCTCCTTGCTCTTTCCTTCAAGGGTTAGTGGGACAAAGAGAGGAGGAGACAAAGGGAGAGAAATCAGTATCCCGGGTTGATTGACAGCAGCATCAGACAGACGGTTTGTTTCACTAAATCGATGTGCGACGCGTCAAGAAGCCAAAACGGAAAGTTACTTTAACACAATGCCGTTTCATTATTGTACAAGCACATGCAAGCTACGGCCATGCACAGTAAGGCTAAGCGTTAGCTGGAAGACATGGAAATCAGAAAGGATGTCTGCTGTGTGTGTGGGTGTGTGTGTGTGTGTGAGAGAGAGTGTGTGTGTGTGTGTGTGTGTTCACTCTCCAAAAATGTAAGACAACACAAATGTTTGTGAACTAAATGCTTAAACAATTTTTTTTTACTCTGCTTTAGCTTAAAAATAATGAAAATTGTCAATTTTTTTTGTAAATGTAGAATTGGCTCTTACTACCATGTGAGTATTTTCAATAATAATTATTTATAAAACTTCGAATGTGCCGTTCAGAATGTAGTAAGCGTGTTAAAGATCATGCACACTAAGCAAAGCATGCCTGGTTGGGAGGAGAACAAAAAGAGTTGAAACAATGGTTGCAATGCTGCACGACAGTGAGTCATACAGTGTAATAAAAGAAGAAGAAGAAGAAGAAGAAGTTGAAGCTACACCATTGGAGAGAAGGAGCAGATGATGGAGGGGAGATGAGAGGAAAGGGGCGGAGCAGCAGCGATCATGTTTGTAAGTCTGTAAGTTGTTACCTACTTGGTGGGGCTGCAGGTATGCAATGCCTTCAAATGAGGCTTCCAGGTAGCAATGGAAACCGAGTTCTCATCAGCAGCATAACTACGCCAGACACACTACGTGCAGAGTCGACAGGATAAATAAAATGATGATAAATGAAACAGTTAATTGTGGGGGGGCACAAAAAAACAAGGGGAGGGAACGTATAAGTTGGGCAGGAAGTGAGAAAAAGGAAGGTGAGGAAGGGAAAAAAGAGAAAAAAGCAGATTAGTTTTTTTGGGGGGTAGTGTTGATGCATTGTGGTCTGGGGGGTTGTCGGAGGGAGGTGGGGGGGGCGG